TAATAATAATAATAATAATAATAATAATAATAATAATAATAATAATAATAATAATAATAATAATAATAAAGACCCATAAAGAAATACAAAAATGAAAAAAAAATAAAAAATGAGAAACAATATACAAGTATGTATGTTGTGTTGTCAATGGTAAGAGAAACAATTGAGACCCTGCAATTGTGTGTAAATGAGGCAGAAAGTCAGATCAGCAACCTGGGACTTGGTCCCAATTTTCGTGATGCCATATGGCAGCAGGGTCTACCATTAGACAACACATTATGCTTCCAATATCTTCCCAGGCAGTAGTACATCCCTGTTTGGTAGCTGCCTACTACCTTCACATTGTTTTGGGAATGCTTCTTAGGGAGGCTTCTTAGCCCAGAACCCCCACATTTTTATCCTAATCTTCCGAAATCTGGATTTACAGGGTCCGAATCTTCGAGGGTCTACTGTACAGTCGGCCCTTAACATACACGGGTTTAACTTACACGGATTTGCAAATACCTCGATTGCCGCTGGAGGAATATACATTCAAAGGAATTTACATTATTAAAATCGCGCGCGACACACACACACACACACACACATACACATCGCCTGCGCCACCCCGCTTTCCCTCGCTCCCTCAGTCAGTCAGTCTCACTGTAACCACGCTTGTGTTGACATCAGCATTGTAGTTGCAAAAATATTACATTTCCGGGAATGTATTATATGAAGCACAGTATGAATAGAATATCACCAATATAACAGTATTTTAACCAAAAACTATTAAAATAATGAGTAACATATCTTGAACATCGGAAGGCTAGGTAAAGTCTTTTGTTTTCATGTAGTTTATCCTAATTTACATTGAAATACATTATGTTTCAGCAAAACTACTATTTATTTCTGAGAATATGGAAATGTAATATTTTTGCTGAAATGACGTACGTATTACAGTGGAAAGTGACGAAAGCAATGACTTTCGCTTTCTTTCGTTCAAAAGATGTTACTGTAATCGCTTTTCGAATGGTTTTCAGTTAAAAAACTGTTGTATTACAATAATATTCTATCCTAATTCACTTATGATGCAACAGTTTTTTAACTGAAAACCATTAGAAAAGCGATTACGATAACATCTTTTGAAGGAAAGAAAGCGAAAGTCATTGTTTTCGTCACGATTTTATCTCACTTTCCACTGTAATACTTACGTCATTTCAGCAAAAATATTACATTTCCGTGAATGTATTATATCAAGCACGGTATGAATAGAATATCATTGTAATATAACAGTATTTTAACCGAAAACTATTAAAAAACGAGTAACATCTCTTGAACATCGGAAGGTTAGGTAAAGTCTTTTGTTTTCGTCATGTATTTTATCCTATTTTACATTGAAATACATCACGTTTCAGCAAAACTACTGTTTATTTCTGAGAATATATTCATTCAGGTGCAGTTTAGGTAAAATATACGTGTGATGTAATAGTTTTTTAACTGAAAACGATTCGAAAAACACGTACCCTCTAGCCCTGTTCAAGGAGAAGACTGGGAGGAGCTGTTGGGTGCTGAAGACGATGACAAGGAAAATAATTTTGATGGATTTTAATGAAAATATTCAGAAATATGGTATCGTAGTATTTATTCAAGTGAATTAGGGTAGAATATTATTGTAATGCAACAGTTTTTTAACTGAAAACCATTCGAAAAGCGATTACGGTAAAATCTTTTGAACAACGAAAGAAGGCGAAAGTCATTGTTTTCGTCATGATTTTATCCCACTTTCCACTGTAATATGTACGTCATTTCAGCAAAAATATTACATTTCCATATTTATTTCTGAGAATATATTCATTCAGTCACAGTTAAGGTAAAATATACTTGTGATGTAATATTTTAATAAAAATACCCGGTATTTAGAAATACGGTATCATTGTTTTCTTTTGTTTCAAATTTAATTAACAAAGATTGATGTTTCAAATGTAATGAACAAAAATTTATGTACAGTTGTACCCCACTTAACGCGGTCAATAGAACCCAGAGGGTCCCGCGTTAAGTGAAATCCGCGTAAAGTGAACAACAGAACATATGGGATTAATTCCAATAGAAACCAGCCCGACCCCCAAACTCCACTTTTTGAAGACACATAACTATGTTGTAGTAAAAATAACATCTTAATTTTATGATTGTACATGCACACAATTAATACTTAAGAGAAATAGAGAAATACAGTCGCCAAGTTAATGTCCATTCCAATAATGGACTCAACTCCCTCCCCCTCTTCTCACACTACACTGCTGGCTCTTCCCTCTCGTGAGAAATTTTTGGGGGAAAACCACTAAATTTTAATAAATAATACCTCAAACTAAAGTTAGGATAATATAATTGACATTGCTGGATTCCTTGTAAGACCAGGAATATTTTGAATATAAATGTCATATATTTTGCACAAAAGATAACATATTTACTCAGAGAAAACATTTTATCTAAAATTTGTATGCCTAATGCAAAATATATGATGTTTATATTCAAAATGATCACCAAATTATAAGAATTCTAGCAATGTAAATTATATTCTGGCCGGGTAATTTGTATGAATTTTATGAGCTAAAACAAATATCTTCAGTTAATAAAAAAAAAATATTCTTCACGACACTATCTGTCAATCAAAGTACCCCACCTTGCCTCCCCCCTCTTCCAACCCCGCGGTCAGTCCCAACCCTCCCCCCACCCCCCACAAATCCTCCCTTCAAGAGAAAGAGTGGGTGAAAAACAAATAAATTTTAACATTTTGTATTAAATAATACCTCAGATTAAAGTTAGGATAATATAATTGACATTGCTGGATTCCTTGTAAGACCAGGAATATTTTGAATATAAATGTCATATATTTTGCACAAAAGATAACATATTTACTCAGAGAAAACATTTTATCTAAAATTTGTATGTCTAATGCAAAATATATGATGTTTATATTCAAAATGATCATCAAATTATAAGAATTCCAGCAATGTAAATTATATTCTGACCGGGTAATTTGTATGAATTTTATGAGCTAAAACAAATATCTTCAGTTAATAAAAAAAAAAAATATTCTTCACAGGGTAACAGATGGTCGGTCGGTCCCTCCCTCCCCCCCATCCCCCACCAACCGTCCCAAGGAGATGTGTGGGAAAACCAGAATATTTAACTTTTTAGTAATAAATAATACCTCAAACTAAAGTTAGGATAATATAATTGACATTGCTGGATTCCTTGTAAGACCAGGAATATTTTGAATATAAATGTCATATATTTTGCACAAAAGATAACATCCTTACTGAGAGAAACCATTTTATCTAAAATTTGTATGTCTAATGCAAAATATATGATGTTTATATTCAAAATGATCACCAAATTATAAGAATTCCAGCAATGTAAATTATATTCTGGCAGGGTAATTTGTATGAATTTTATGAGCTAAAACAGGCAGGGTGGCGGGTGGGGCAAATCTAAAAATAGCGTCTCGAGCCGGACACTCACCGCGTATATGTGGAAAAAATCCGTGTTAAGTGAAAGTTCAGCTCTGGCGAGGCACCGCGTATATGAAAAAACGCGTTAAGTGAAACCGCGTTAGGCGGGGTAGTACTGTATCTATAAATAAACTTTAAAAAATGAATACTTTATGTTTTACATCGTCCTGTGCTAACATACCATGCATTTGGTTACTTTGGGCTTGCTAAGATGACGCAAGAGATCTTCCCTGGCAACTGTACCGACACTCAGCTGGTGGTGCGTCGTTTCCATTGTTTACTAGTAGTTACTGGTAAATATTTTTCAGCCTAACGAAACTATTACCCATTTAGAGGTTGACTCCCAATTTTTTGCCAAAAAATTTGGTCTTAAAAACTCGAACTACACACAGGTATATACGGTAAATAAGGACATGGGGGGCCAGGGGTGTTTTTAGGGGGGGTGGGGGGGGCAGCAAAAATACGCAGATTCTTAACATTCACGGGTATCTCTGTTACCTAACCCCCGCGTATGTTAAGGGCTGACTATTGTTATTTTTCCAATTGTATTTTTGTGTAGATATACATAATTGTATTCAATATATTTTTATTCTGTTACAAGAACACACAATTGTTGATACAGCAAGTACCGAAAAGGTCAAATACAAGAAATGATTGTCATAAGGCCAAAAATATTAAGAGAATAAAAAAAAAAAATTATGTCTGGGGAGTTAGCTCATGATTGTGGGAGGGGCAGGGGGAGGGGGTGAGCACTCTCCTGTGTCCTTTGTGAAATGATTGCCAAATGGTAATGCAGTAGTTTTTCTTTTCTTTTAGTTTATTAGTATTCCAGTAATTTTGTTTATTCCTCACATTTACGGAGGAATACATTAGACCGCGGAGGGACAAAGTTACCACGCTAATCCGTGTATACATAAAACTACATGCTCCTACCCATGGTTATTGCGAGGTGCCGAATAAAGAGATTTTCTGGTAACAGAAGTTAAATCTCACTCTTAAGGTCCCCCAATAAATCCTACAATACAGTGTTTCAGAAGCCTGTTTTTATGCAAATCTCTGCATTTTCTTGAGTGCTTCCCAATTACTGTGTTTTTTTTGCTGCTCCGTGCTCTTTTGAGAAAATGAGATTGTTTTGAAATTTAAACGCTCATGAAAATGTACGGATTTGTGGAAAAATAGGTGCCTGATAACTGGAATTCAACTGTATTAGCTATATCAGGGGTGGGCAAAGTGCGGCCCGCGGGCCACATTTGGCCCGCCAAATTATTTCTGTGGCCCGCCGCTGCATTTGGCAATCAGAAAAAAAAATTCTTATTAATTACAGAAAGGACAATTTTGGAAGTTGGGTGGACATAGCAGCAATACTGGCTCGTCGCTGTTAACCTGTGGCCCGCGAAGTGGCCCTCCATCAAAAATAATTGCCCACCCCTGAGCTATATCTTTGATGCCTCAACCCCTCTCGAAATACCCCTAGAGTAGAGTATTACATTGGACTTTCATCTATTACAGGGAGGTTGTGCTTCAACTTCACAAAGCTGGCAGTGAGGCGGAGGCACTCTTGTGTCTACGTGTTTTGGATGCTGTGCTTGCTTATAGCTATCTTCCTTCCTCTGCACTGCCTACCTTCATAGCTGCTCTCACCAGAGCAATTAGTGTGCCTCAGCTCACCGCTGAATCCTGGAAGGTATGTTTGTTCATTTAATAATTTATATATACTGTATATATATATTTTTTGTAATATAGTACTTTAGACATATCCAGTGATGTACCAGGTATCACCACATCCCAGTATAAGGCAGTGGTCCCCAACCTTTTTTGGGCTTTGGCCCACATTTGTCATTGTACATATAGTGGAGGGTGTCTTTGGAATCAAAGGCATTTCGTCTTATTAACTCTCCTCCTTTAGTTGACAATCTCTCTTCCCTTTCCCTAAGCCGCAATGTTGCTTCACTCTCTCTCTTTTACAGGTACTTTAACGGGCAATGTTCGGTGGATTTGGCAACCTGTGTACCGCCAGCAAGGCCGTGGGCTCGTAACACGTCTTGCCCGCGGTGCCCACCATTTCTCTGTGGATGTCGGTCACACTAGAATAACCCATTATAGTACATCCTTCTTTCCTCACACAGCCAAACTGTGGAATGCTTTGCCTTCTTCTGTGTTTCCATACTCATACAATGTCTCACTTTAAAAAGCTGGTTTTCCGGCATCTTCGTGGTTTAGAGTAATAAAACCTTTTCATTTTCTATTTTAAATTTCTTATTATTCTTATTTTTTCGCCCACTAGGCCCCAATGTGGGTTGATGACCTGTGCCCGGGTGGGCTATTCCACGTAAAAAAAAGATAAATAAATAAAAAAAAAATATATTAAAAATAAATAAATAAAATCTACATTCAAGAAAATAACAACAACTCATATATACTGCTGTTTGCAGTTTTACACAGGTCTAACTGTTACCAGTTCCATACTTTTTTACATTTACTCTTTCAGGCTGGTTCTCTCTCGGGCCCAGTCTGGGGTAAATACATACGACAGATTCTGGACAAATGGCAGTTTCTTTCTCTCTCACTAAAGTCGTATCAAGTTATTACATATTTTCATTATTTTCACTCTGACAAAGAATTGCAAATATTTTTAAATTTTCTAATAAACCCTTGTGGGCTCCTCCACGGGCACCGAACTACAGGTTGGGGACCAATGGTATAAGGATAGTGAATCCTATGATGATGGATCATCCCCAAATGAATGGGACAGTGGGCCATGGTGGGTCAGACCAGATTAGCAATCTACTGCAGCTAGTTTAGGTTTATATAGGTGTTGATCCACCTACCATTTACTGGAAACATATTGCATAGTCATTTATCAAATTGCACATAGCCTGCATTTTACTGTACTGCCTGTTGCCCAACGAAATGCCATTTTTTACCACTTAGCAAAATGTGGATTATTACAGCATAATCACCTAATTCCAGATCATGCGCAATCTCCTTGGGACACACCTTGGCAACAGCGGTCTCTATGTTTTGTGCCGATTGATTCAGAGCAATGTAGATGCTCATATGGTGCGTGGAGCAATCTTTTTCTTAACATCTGCACTGTGGGGGAGTAATAAAGTTTCCTCCCTTAACTACAAACCAGCAGCAGTACTTCCAACATTCAGAGAGGTTGGTTCTGATGAGTTTGTATTATGAAAGACACAAAGACCAGTTTTTGCCTTTACATGACATTGTACATAAGATAGCTTTTTCTTAATATACTTTGTATACCATCAGGAAAGTTTCTTATTTTTGTTTGTATCTATAATTTTTTCTATAAGATAATGTAGTGACTTGCAACAATTCAATCATTCTTATTCATTAATTTAAGTATGATATTGTTAAATTTTTCAACTTATGTTAGAATTTCTCCCATTTTTTCTGAACTTTTCAACTGTATCTTGACTACTTCATATATGACCATTTAGAGCATACTGCTAGCCAATTCAATACATTACAGTACATTGTTTCTCACATAAATTTGCAGGGTTAGATTCTAATAGCCTTTATATATTGTAAATTGGTTGTGAATTTGGTTAAAGTGCTGTTACTTTCCCAGTCTCTAGATAATTCCCTGAAATTCATTCAAATTCTCTTAACAATTGTTATTCTTCTCTTAATACATTAACATTCTCGGGATCTCCTGAAATTTCTTTAAGAGCCTGTCACTTGCTCCGTTTGGAACCTGCAAAATGACCAGAAATCAAAGAGAAGATATTTTTTCCCGGGCACTATTTGTGGCCAAGATATTGTCAAATATTTATTCAAATTATGCCATTCTGCATAAAAAAGGCTGGGAAACCATATGAAACCCTTAAAAATAAGATAAAATAAAAAATAAAGTCTATTTTGGCAAGAATAAGTGAAAAGTGAGAGTTTACTATTGAATCCCCTTGTGCTGTACCCACATCATTGCATCAGTCAGCATAAAGTGCACATGGCAAGAAAAGGTGAATGATGAGGAAGACAATGATGCATTCAGAAAAAAAGTTAACGTAAAAAGTAATGGAGTTACTGAATAGAAAGTGAAAATAAGTGGATGTTAGGCGCGCAGTTGCCAAAATATTTATACATAGACCTTATATTTCCTTGCTTGTTTTTTGTTGAAATATTTTTAAAGTATTTTTTTATGATGGACTATTACTGTACACAAACTAAGGAAGAGAAATAGACCAGTTAGAAGTTTCTGTGACAAAAATTGAAATTTTGGCATTAATATTTCCATTTACCACTTAGACGAGGCAGGTCTTGGCATATGCAAGACACTGGCGATGCCATTATGAATACATATAAAATAAGCACAATATATTCTTTATAATTCACCATGCACATTCCTCTACTTCACTACATTTCACTATCACTTACTATTTTTCCAAGTTAGGCCTATATATTACGACATGCTTTTGTGTGGTATATGCGACTGTATTGTGGGCAGCCATTTCACCATCTCATAAATTAAAAAATATTTCACTATTTCATAATAAATATTTCAATACACATCACTTCTTAAGAATAAATATTGAGGTTGTAAGTAATAGTTATTTGGAGATAGTGGCGCAAACACCACGGTAGTCATTTTTATATAGTGCCCTGGACACACACACCTCTCGCTTTGTGAGCCAGATGCAAAACTAGAGTCTTTGTTTGGAGGCCACTTTGTCTATCACACATGAAAGTGTTGCCACCTAGCCTTAAAACTTGGATCCATGCAGGAGAGTGGCATGAAGAAAGTGGCTTTAAAATTTGAAGTAATTCGATCAGGAACTTTTAGAGAAAATGAACTATATGACAAGATGGCATGTCTGATCATGAGGAAAAAGTTTCATTAACATTAAATCAAAATGCCACATAGGAGTGAATGATCCCGAGAGTGTTAACTAAACTTTTCTGAAAAAGCAAATAATGAGTGACAAAAATTTTATACCGGTATATCTAATACAAAAGAAAGGATTGGGAGGAGAAGAAAAATACCAGTACAGTACAGTAAGTCCCCATTGAACAAAAGGGTTACGTTCCACTACAATGCTTTCGTTAAGTGAATTTTCGTTCATCGAAACCATTATCCCATATAAATTATTGTAATAAGTGGGATGCGTTCCAGGACACTCCATAAATGCTGACTTATACTCGCTGTGCAATGTGCATACGTAAATATTTTTATATTTTATGTTAATTCTATACTAAGCTCTCTGATTTATATACATGTATATACAGTGGTCCCTCGGTTAACGAACACAATTTGTTCCACAGAGTCGTTCGTTAACCGAATCTATTATTTCAATGGGATATTGGGTAATTGGTTCCAATTCACAGAAAAACTATACATACCGGTAAAAGAATTAACAAAACATTAAATATAAACTAAATACAGTACTGTACAATAATAAATAAAAAACAATTGAATACTGTATTTTAACTTACTTTGAGGTGTATGTCGTATTACCGGCAAGTTTGTATACACATCAAACAGCTGATTGTAGAGGCAGTCGATGATGACATGCCATATTCTTTACAGAGTGCATTGGTTCTCATGCCTTCTTCATGTTTCATAATAATTTCTACGCTGTATATTATCAATATGTTAAATAAATTTTAGAATGACCAATAATTTTAATGTAAAAATGCTAAAATATTCAAGAGACCAACAAAATTGATGTTTACTCCACTGTAAACAAAGTTAAACTGAGAAGCGTTGGTGGGTGATTCAATCAGTTGATGGGCACACATAAACTGTTCCCTGTACTGTCTGTATTATCAATATGTTAACTAAATTTCAGAATGACCAATAATTTTAATATAAAATATGCAGAAATATTCAAGAGACCAGCTTTCTTGATATTTACTTCACTGGAAACGAATGTAAACACAGAACCAATTACTGTATTGGCGGACTAGCCAATCAGCCGATGCGCACATCAAAACGTGTTTGTCGTAAGGATTTTGTTAATCAAAGTTTTGTTCGTTAATCAAACTGAAAATCCTTATGGGAGCTAAATTGTTAACCGAAATTTTGTTAATTGGACCGTTCGTTAATCGAGGGACCACTGTATACCGTATCACTCTATGAACGTGGCAGAGTGTATTTCTTGTGTTTACCCATAACCGGTCTTTCACTTGCCAGTTTCTTATGAAACTCAAAACCTTCTTGTAGTGTACTCCACTTTTGATAACAATCGTTTTTTTTTTTTAGTTATTAGAATATATTACACTCCTGTTGTACATCCAGTCCTATACTGGAAGTTGTAACTTTCTTTAAAATGCAATAAAGTTTCACCTTTTTCTCACAGTTCATGTTGATATTCAACTACATATTATGCTTCAGTTAATGTTTTCTCTTTCCATTTAAGCATTAATATCTGACTAATACCCATTTATGTGTGTTTTAACAAACTTCTTTATTTTTTAGGCTGCTAAAAATGGTCATATATTGGTTATATATGAGGTAGCTCTAAGTATTCAGAAGTTGGTGTCCAAGATGTATATGGAGCTCCATTTATCATCGTGGGATCTTGTTCTGGACACACTCATCAAACTGTTTGAACACACAGGTGAGGAAAATAAATAATTAGTTAAGTCAGAATCATCTGTCCTAAAATTCATCTCATCTCATTATTGTGGAATGCAAAGATTATTGTCTTGGCATTATATCGTGTAATATTTATTATATTTTCAGAATGTTCCTTAATCTGTTTCCAACCATAAATATGATCCCTTCTACTCTTTGATCCTTTTTACCAGGTTTTATAAATATACATTGAGGATAGATATTACATAGATTGTTATGTCATGAAATACCTCATGTAAGACCTTTCAAAATGTGCAAGATACAATAAGTCCTCGCTTAACGTCGGGGTTACGTTCCTAAAAATGCAACGTTATACGAAACAACGTTAAGCGGATCAATTTTCCCTATAAGAAATAGATAAAATACGGGAGTTACGTTCCTGAGCCTCCCTTTGCCCCATGAAATACATTACATATACAGAAAATCATTGCCATTTCTATAGAAAATAATGCATACATATACAACTACTAAGTTTGTATTGGTACTCACCGATGGGCAGAGGTGGTAGAGTGAGTGTGTGGTGGGTAGTGAAGAAGAGGAGGCGGATGGAGGGAGGGGAGGAGTGTGGCGGGAGCGGAGGAGTATGGCAGGAGCGGAGGGGGAGGGCGGGAGAGTAGGAGGATGGTGAGTCACTGAGACTGCGCCGAACCGAGAGAGCATAGTGGGGCCAGACGAGAGAGGGTGATGCGCCATCAAAAGTAGTCCGTGACGATGCAAAACGACGTAGTATCGGATCACCGGGATGTTAAACGAATTTTTGATCCCTAAAGTTTAGTGACGCAGTACCGAAACAACGTTAAGCGGGACGACGTTAAGCGTGGACATACTGTATAAGACATTAGTTATATATGGAAAAGAGTTACATCACAAAATCCAGTGGTGACAAAAAAATCAGTTAGCACTATGCCATTCTGCACCAGCTAATGCTTCCTGGATGCCAATCTCCCTCACTTTTTATGCATCCTTCAGTCAATTATTTTATCCTTGTAGCATCCATCCTATTGACACTTTTTCACTTGCATCTCTTTATATAATTTTTCTTGTTCTGTGCATCTATTTACTTTTCACATTGGCCTGAAGCACACTATTTTGTTGCCTTCCTCGTACCCATGCTTCACACCCATATAAAAGTGTTGGTGCAATATTTCCCCTCTACATATGCATAATTGCCTTCTTTAAGAGAATATTCTTTCCATATTTTTCTCCATCCACCTTTACTCTTTTCCTTCTGTCATCATTGTGTTTGCTGTCATGTTCAATTGTCTGTATCTGAGACACTCCTTTTCTCCATTCTTGCTAACATTTATTCTCCACTTCTCCTTTCTCTTTATTTTCAATATTTTACTTTTGTCACAGTTATCACATATGCAATCAACTTTCTCCTTCCTGACTCATTAACATTAGTAACTTTTCTGATGAATTACTCACTTAAGGAGTTTCATGTGAAAACAGCAGCTGACCCAACTTATTCATCAAACTTATAACTCTCCATCACACTTCCTTTCACCACCTTTTACTACATGATCCATGAAAATATTAAAAAACCATAGTGACATTGCACATCATTGGTTAGTCTTAATTTCAGTAATACAGTTATATTTATTTTGTCATAATTTAATATATATACACAGTATTACCCTGTGTAGCTTTACATGGTTTCACTTTCCGCGATTTCTCATTTACGCGGTACCTTGCCAGAACCGGACTTTCACTTTCCACGGTGCATCTACTCATATACGCTGTGAAATATAATTATTATTTTTTATTTAGCGCATAAAATTCATACAAATTACCCGGCCAGAATATAATTTACATTGCTGGAATTCTTACAATATGATGATCATTTTGAATATAAACATCATGGATTTTGCATTAGACATACAAATTTTAGATCTTATGTAATAATTTGGTTTACACAAAGCAAATATTTTATCTTTTGTGCAAAATATATGAAGTTTACATTCAAAATATTCCCTGACCTGCAAGGAATCCAGAAATGTCACTTATATTATCCTAACTTTAGTCTGAGGTATTATTTATTACTAAATGTTAAAATCTAGTGTTTCACCCAATCATTTCTCAGAGAGGTAGGGGCCAGTGAGCTGGGAAGAGGGGGGGGGGGAGATTTGAGTCCATTATTTGAATGGACATAACCTGGCGACTGTATTTCTCTTAAATATTAATTGTGTGAGCATACCATCATAAAATTTAGATGTTATTTTTGCTACAACATAGGTATTGTGGGAAAAAGTGGAGTTTGGGGGTCGGGCCAGTCTCTATTGGAATTAATCCCATATGTTCTGTTGTTTACTTTACGCGGTTTTCACTTTCCGCGGTACCCTGTGGGTTCAATTGACCGCGTAAATTGGGGTACTACTGTGTATGTATGTATGTATGTGTATATATATATATATATATATATATATATATATATATATATATATATATATATATATATATATATATATATATATATATATATACACACGGAACAACTGCCTTATCCACACACTCTTCAGAAGATGTCTTGAATAAAGACTCAGCCAAGGTGTGCCACTTCCTCCCATTTTATACATATATATATATATATATATATATATATATATGTATATATATATATATATATATATATATATATATATATATATATATATATATATATATATATATATATATATATATATATATATATATATATATATATATATATATATACTGAAAGGTCACATGATGAACCGCGGAAAGTGAAAGTTCGGTTCTGGCAAGGCACCGCTTATATGAGAAATCGCGTAAAGTGAAACCGCGTAAAGCGGGGTAATACTGTAATTTTATTTGGTTACTCTACAACTCTGGTGGCTGGTTCCTAACCCCATGAATTTGTTATATTCTTATGGGATTAATTACTTCGATAACCGTAGTTTCACACCTTTTTATGGTCCTTTTATGCGCTGGTTATCTGGGTATGCCTGTACCTTTAAATTATTCTTATTCTTCTACCAACCTACCCCCCACTTATGGTCTTTATGGTACATTCTCTCTCCTTAGATCACCAGTTTCTATAACTTTTCTTTATTTCTCCAGGAATAGTTAAACATTTCAGGACAGGTTCTAATGACTTGGATCCAAGTGATTCAGATGAACATAGATGTGGTCATGGCTTACTACTGAAAAGTTTTTATGTTATTTTTGGCAGCTGTTTGAACTTGTTAATCAGTGATAAGGGGTGAAGTTTGAGTATCTTTTTAAAGTTTCTTTAATTTTCTGGCTTAAAACTGATTTTTTGGTGGTTTACAGTTGCTTTAGAAGAGGGGCAAGAAAAGCAAGCAATTCTGGCTGTGCTGAAGGATATATTGGATGTGATTGAACAACTTATTGACTTACAGCAGTTTGGAGGATCATCTGATAAATTTTTCTCCATCATTAATCTTTATTCTGACCTCCGTCCGGTAAGTAAACTAATATTAACAATAGTAATTATATGGCAAGTATACAGTAATTTTTTTGTATTGGGTGTGCAATAGATACCTGGTTTTTTTTTTTTTTTTTATTAAAACCCAGCCAACTCACTAGGCAGTGCTTCCATACTAACCTAAAGGCTACCCATTGTGAAATTAACTCTCATTGGACATGGGAATGTATCTATATGTGTTAATAAATCTTCCACTTTGCATTATAATGTTAGTACATTTAAAAAACATTCAGGTGTTTATGGCACACCCTGTATGAAGCAATGTACAGTAGAAGTCCAAAAATCCGGACTGCTTGGGGATTGGGTCGTTCCGGATTTTCGGATTTTCCGGATTTTCAGGCAGTACTTTTAAAATTCAAATTTAAGGAGGAATAAGAAGAGATGAAAAGGTACATTTTGATAGTTTATTCATTAGCAAATATAGCATGCTTCTTTTATCAAAACGAGCAGTTTTAAAGAAAAAGCTATGAATTCTAGAATTTTATTCTTTGCCTTTTTTATATCTTAAATTATAGACTTTCCAATGTCGTATGTTTCCATTAGAACAGTATTGCTCACACCACGTTCTAGTTTCTTAATTATTTCAAGTTTGTCACTCAATTTCAACGTGTTCTTTCTTTTCACACAGCGAAGTTTATCTACTTTAGGAGCCATTATTATGGGCTTGTACAGTACTCTGTAAATGGAAAGAGTAGGACTCAAAATTACATACGTTGTCACAGTTTGATTGCTCGTTTTAAAGTGGCGACTGCGTGGTCCCTTGTTGTCTCTGTGCAGCTGTGGCGCTCACGCATGCGCACACACACACAAAAGCCCGCTAAATTAAAAAAAAAAAAGTGAGTTTTCGAAAAGTCCGGATTCTCCGGTGGTCCGGATTTCTGGCATCCTGGAGGCTCTAGATATCATAAATTATACTGAAGCTCAAGTGAGGTTGTCATGAAGCTATTACAGGAAATATAGGATGCTATGAAACTCCCACCATAGTATGGCAAATTTGAAGTACAGTGAAACCTTCTTATAACATACTTCTCTTTCCAGATAATCTGTTAGAAGGGGGTTTGACATTTAATGGACAATCAATATATGAACTTTCCTTTCTATATAGTTCAGTAAATTGAGGTTTCATTGTAATGTATTGAAGAGTATTCTGAGAATTGTGGACTAACCCTCTCATTCCTAGGCACGTACCTCATATGCCTGTAGCTTCCGATTTTGTTTCAATGAAGCTATTGTTCTTTAATATCTTGACTTGAGCATATCTTGTGAGTTGAGTTGCTCATGGCTTATGGCATGGGAGTACTGGTCTATAAGTTAAAGAAATAATATGCCCCTATGTGTGGTTTCTACATAGATATTGTGTGGCTTCTTCTATTGGTGTGAGAGGGGAGAGTAGCCCTTTGGTCAACATTCAGGGGTCGCTTCTGCTTCTGAGCTAGCCTAAGTCTAGAATTATCTATATAGGAGGGGAGGGGCAGATGTAGGCCTCTCATGAGCGAGATATCCTAGAATCTGGGTAATTTTTGTGCAGGCCTTCAGCGGGTTTACTTACACCAAATGGATGTTTTTTCGTTTGTTTTATCTTTCATGCATGCCCAGTACACAACAGTACAATATAGTAAAATAAAACAGGTAGGGTGGGGGATTAGTGGTCTCATATTACTGACCTTCTGATGGAATGTCAGGTCACCCTTTTTTGGCCGGGGGATTAGTGGGTCTCATGACCTGAAGATACCTTGAATAAACACGAAAACTAAAGTATTTTTAGGGAGATTGTGATAAGTATAGGTATAAATGAGCAAAGTTGTATCCCTTCAATATTACATTACATAACATTTTAAAATATGGAGTGAGAAAGCAGAAAGGTGTCGGTGATTAGAGAGATGTAGTGGAAAAGAGTGGTAACATGGACCAGTGTTGCCAAGCGATAAGCTCCCCAACAGCTGATCTTTTAATTCGTCTCCATGCAGTCACACAACAACACCCTCACTGAATGCTTGTTGTCCTAATTCCCGTGTGTGTGTGTGTGTGTGTGTGTGTGTGTGTGTGTGTGTGTGTGTGTGTGTGTGTGTGATAATTAACGGTTTATTGAAAAAGTTCTGCAGCCCGAAGGCTGAAAATATACATTGGGCATAAATGACTTATTACATACATTGGTGGTTTAACAAAAGCCTTCATTAGAGAAAGGTAAAGGAACATACAGTGAACATACAGATTAATGTAGGTGTTGAACAGCAAAAACGTAGTGTAGTAACTCCCTCCCAGATGGTGTTAGGAGGGACCTCACGTGGTGTAGTAGTTCCCTCACAGATGGTGTTATGAGGGGCCTCACGTGGTGTAGTAATTCCCTCACAGATGGTGTTATGAGGGGCCTCACGTGGTGTAGTAATTCCTCACAGATGGTGTTATGAGGGGCCTCACGTGGTGTAGTAATTTCACAGATGGTGTTATGAGGGCCTCACGTGGTAGTAATTCCCTCACAGATGGTGTTATGAGGGGCCTCACGTGGTGTAGTAATTCCCTCACAGATGGTGTTATGAGGGGCCTCACGTGGTGTAGTAATTCTCTCACAGATGGTGTTATGAGGGGCCTCACGTGGTGTAGTAATTCCCTCACAGATGGTGTTATGAGGGGCCTCACGTGGTGTAGTAACTCCTTCACATATGGTGTTATGAGGGGCCTCACGTGGTGTAATAATTCCCTCACAGATGGTGTTATATGAGTGAGGTGTGGTTCCAGGCCTTCCTATCGTAGACGGATTAACACATCACTGGTAGTTGGGTCTCACGGGCCGTTATCACTGGGTACCTGGGACCTCACTGTGTGAAAGGTCAACTTGGGTACCATTGTTACTGTTGAGTTGTTCTCACTGACTTAAGCACTGTTCACCTCTGTTTAACACTGGTTCCATTTCTTTCCTAAATGAAATAGTAACTTCTGGCGTGAACTTGTTGATATTCCGGTGGGGAGGAGGGTTCAGGGGAGGGAGTTGGTATGGGCCAACATAACAGTTGACCTGGCTGCTCCGAGAGGAGCGCCAGGTACGTCTTGACCCTTCGGTGGTCAAGGATGTAGTGTGTGTGTGTGTGTGTGTGTGTGTGTGTGTGTTATTGAAAAAGTTTTGCAGCCCTAAGGCTGAAAATATACATCGGACATAAATGACTTACTACATACATTGACATTGGTGGTTTAGCAAAAGCCTTCATTAGAGAAAGGTAACGGAACATAGTGAACATACAGATTAATGTTTACAGTTGAGGTCACGTAGATCTTGTGCGCTGAGGTGTTGAACGGCAGATACGTAGTGTAGTAACTCCCTCACAGATGGTGTTATGAGGGGCATCACATGGTGTAGTAATTCCCTCACAGATGGTGTTATGAGGGGCCCAATGTGGTATAGTAATTCCCTCGCAGAACACAAGAATGGAGGAAACTGCAGCGAGCCCATTGGCCCATACTGGGCAGTCCCAGTATGGGCCAATATGCCCACTGCAGCCACCTCCACTCCTATGCTCCCATGTTCCCATGTTCTGCGAGGGAATTACTACACCACATCAGGCCCCTCACAACACCTTCTGTGTGCGTGTGAGTGTGTGTGTGTGTGTGTGCGTGCGTGCGTGCGTTTAGCTTGCCAAGCACAATGCAGGATTTGAAGAAGTTGATGAAGAGTTTGCTCAGGAGTCAGGTGGTGAGTTGACATGCCAACACACTTACACAGCACACACATTAACAGCACTACTAAACCATTGTCTTATTACAATTTACATTATAATTTATATTTTAAAATTAATTGATACATGACAGCTCGACAGGGCTACTTTTGCACGAAGACAACTGATTTATGAATAAACCAGGGCATATGGAGACTCATTATACATAAGTGATATCACAAAGCTTTGAAACTGCAACCACATAAATTATCACAACTTTTACTCAAATGTACTAAGTTAATTACTAAAATTATTATGTATGGTGCAAAATAAGTGATGTTTATACTCAAATTAATTGCTATCTTACATGAATTCCAGCAAGCCAAATTATATTCTCGTAAGTCAAGTCAGTGGCATTTTATGAACGTTAATCTATCCTCAGTGGGGGGGGGGGGGTAAAAGTGACCGCGCCACCCCCCTCCCCGTACAGATACATGTGCATGACTACATGGTCACTTCTACTGTACATACATTACATAACATTAAATAAAAGCTACATACAGTATTTTTTACATTAATTTTACTACATCTACAACCATCGTTAGGCGAGGCTTTAATATACAATCAAGGACATAAGTCGTGTCGCGGTTTTGTCCGAAGATTAAATATAACTCGTGAAACATTATGGGAGCCCTACCACAAGGCAGAGCGCACCAAAAAGTTTAGCCCTTTGACATATGTTCTCACCAAATTTCACGACACAACTTTTGTCTTTCATTGAACACAAAGAGCAATACAATAAGCTCTAATGCCCGCCCACTCATTTCATTCCAAATTCTATTGGATAATTGCTTTTGTTACGAGTTGGGGATTTAGAATATAGTTAAAAGTCTACCCAGATCCCAACAGGCAACAACAATAAAAAAACAATGACAATCGGACTATAAAAGGGTAGACAAAGGATGCGAGTTTGTGTTGTGTATAATAAAGTACCATAAATTCCTTAACAAAATATTCAGCTTCTTATAAATTACCTTTAACTATACTTAACCTAAACATTAACAGTATATACATATTTATACAACATACAATAATTTGAAGCAAGGTGGAGGTGGGGAGGCAATATAAGATTACAAATACTTAAGTGCGGAGCTGAGATGGCTGACGAGTAAGGCTGAGTATTGTAGAAGACGGTAGGTAGTCACTGTGCCGTAGGTTTCCTGGATAGGTGATCCTGTGGTCACTTCCCAGAGTGAACTGAACTCTCATCGAACTGGAGCTGATGAGGAAGACTTGGAGGAGGTGACTCAACAACCAGGACATGGAGAAGGGAAACCCCGGAGTGGTAACTAAGACTAGTCATACTCGGGTTTTGTCCCTAGATGGCGTTGCTCGTGGTGCTGGGTAGGTAGATCAGGACAATAGATGGCGTGGTTCGTAGTGCTGGGTAGGTAGATCATGACAATTGATGGCGTGGTTCGTAACACTTTGGAAAAAATCCCTTAATGGCAACTGGAAGCTGACGGGAATCAGTCCTGTCCAACGGTAGGAGATACTGTACAGCGATACACACACCTCCAATATTTATTATATTATATATTCTTGTATGATCAGCCACTTATGGTGTATGTTTTATCATTGATAATATAAAATCTTAAATGCTGTGATATAACATGTATAGAAAAATGACGAAATATTGCGTCATGCTCCCAGGTCCTCTGTGTTGGAGGTTTGGGGAGGGAGGGAGGGAACTAACCGCACACCCCCCAAAAAAGTTCATGCCTCTACCCTACTCCTCTCCATGCCTGCCATTCCTATTGTAAAATGTTTTACTTTATTTTTTATTTATTAATTAATAAAGATATTTTTACTGTAATAATTTGTGCTTAATGTGTTTAATATTTTATATTAACCATGATAAAACATACACCATAAGAGGCTGATCATTGGTGGAAAGTGGAGTGCCAGTCCCTGCCTGCACCTTGCCTCTCTTCCTACACCTTGCCTCCCAACCTACCTCCAACTCAGTGTCTCACACAAAAGACTGTAAACTAGATGTTGTGTGTATGTATGATGTGGTGTTGGGGTATTTATTAATGAACAATGAATAAAAATATTGTATTGTTAATGACAGTACAGTAGTTTGATGAATAGTAGTGACAATTGTAGTATGCTACTATTCATCAAACGACTGTCATTGACAATACAAGATTGCTTATTTATTAATTAATGCCACATCACACCCAGACACCTAACACCACTAACACACCCCCATAGTGTATGACATAAATTTATGAGTGGTTAACTATGTGGTGGTGAATTGAAAGATCAGCTGTTGAGGAGCTTAGCGCTTGGCAACACTGGTGCATGTTACCGCTCCTTTCCACTCCATCTCTCTAATCACCCACACCTTCCTGCTTTGTCACTCCACATTTTAAATTATTTTCTAACGTAATGTTGAAGGGATACATTATGAAAAGTGTAAGTATAAAAAATACTGTATTTTAGCTTTCACGTTTATTCAAGACATCTTCAGGTCCTCTGACCCACTATTCCCCCACCTGACAATGGGTGACCTGACATTGTATCAGGTAAGTAATATGAGACCACTAATACCCCACCCTACCTCCACCTGACATTATGTCAGGTCAGGTCAGTTACACGAGAACCACTAATCACCCACAGCTTCAAGGGAGTGCAAAATACCAGTCTTTGCTGTAACACACAGCTTCTTTCATGACCATATGATATAGATTTTTAGTTTAGACTCTTGGAAACCTTCCCAGCACACAGAAATATTCTGAGGATGTGGGCTAGTGTTTGTCTGTTCAAGATGCACAGTTTAAACACTCGGAAAGTTTTTCCAGTAACCGGAAATATTTCCGGTTAGCCGGAAATCTCTCATCCCCAGAAGTGCTCTGCACCAATTGTTCCGGCAAACGGGGATATCACTGCACTGTACTTAGAAATGTTTAAATTTTTATTGGTGCAGATGACGGAGAAGTAGTGTTGTTTTTAGTTTCTTTCCCTCAGGAGAAGGTGTCCCTCATATTTTATAAAATCTCTTAATTTGTAAGGCCTAGAAGCCCCTATTATTTCTTCGTCGTATGCACCTCTCCTAGTGCAAGATGGGGAGGAGACAGGTCTTCCCGTCTTTCTTTGGTGCTGGGGGAGGAGTGGGTAGCGTGGAAGGGAACGTCCTCTCCTTCGTGGAGTAAGCCGGCCTTCTACGCAAGCTTTTGAGTTTTATATATTGATATTTAAATGATTTTTACAAAAGTTTTATGTTATTTTTTGTATTAATTGATATTAGTCTTTTAAGCCTTTTTTATAATTCAGCGACATATGACCTAAGGTGTTGTGCCGCCAGGGATGTAATTACCACGATCAATCAATCAACACGATTATTTTGAATTATGAGGTTTTTACTAACTCTGAACCACATTTATACAGTATAAAGTGGAATAAGTGTTAAAGAACTGTCTGATAAATATGACATTGGAGTGCAAGTGTACAACTAAAGATTCATGTTGTACAATTAGATTTAGGTTTTAGCAATTGTTTAGCAAATTTTCATGTTTTTAATGCTTATTCCGCAAAGCCGTGCCTTTCGGAAATTTGGCCATGGTGGGATACCAATTAGCACGAGTTTGCGAGGTCAGACTGTGCTTATTTCTGTGTCACAATAGAATAAAATTGTGCCAGGGCACTAGCATTATGTTATAATGTGGTCCACTAAGCCTGGGCTAGGTGTATGCTTACAGAAGTTGTATCAGTACAATATGCACATTAGTTTCCTTTTTTTAACCTAAGCTTTAGTGGTTAAGAATTTTCAATAGTCCGGTACTGGTCTGGTTCCAAGCTTGCTGGTCTAGTGAGGTTCAATCTGTACCATGTAAGCACGATATGGTGAATAAAAGTTTTTCACTAGGTTTTCTTGTCAGTGGACAAGTGATTAATGTTGAAAAAAACTGACTATATTTACTTTTAAAATTCACAGCTGGGCATTATTAAAGTGTTTTTTTTTTATTGTCATTAGTATAGGTGAGTGATACCATTCATAATTTTAATTTTTTATTTATTTAGTTTAAGTCTTTCTCAGCAGAATCTTGATACTTATTTTTAAATATTATGTTTTTAGGAGTCTTCAGTTCTTCGTCTTCTTGACCACCTTGCCCAAGGTGTAGATCCTCTTCGTCCTCATTGGTTGGCAAATCTGGGCACACTGCTCAACCAGTACTATCGCCATGATCATAGACCTAACGTCAGGACCAAAGCATTAGCAGTACTTGCCGATGTGTACAACAACAACAGGTGATGTATACTGTACTCTGCTCATATAGTGTCTTTTTAAATGTGTTGCACATTATTATGTACTATACAGGTCACCTGCTGGGGGAAGAAACATTGTGGATTCAGAAAAGGAGGATTATAATATAGAGTTTTATTTTTGGTTTTCCTCCTTCATAGGGGAAGGACACCAGTAGTTTGTTTCATGCAAGGTAAAAAAACAAACACAAGTAATAAATGACATAGAACTTTCGTAAAAAAATTTTTAATGTTAATTGACAAACCTCAAAGTTTGTGTAGAAGTCCAGCCTCCTCTACGAAGGAGAGGATGTCCCCTCCCACACTACCCCTCACAGCACCAAAGAGAGACAGTAAGACCTGTCCCCCCCCCCCCCACTGGGATTGAGAGAGGTGCTTACTACAAAGACATCTGAGAACTGAGACTGGGGCATTCCACCAGGAGGTGTCGAACAGTCAATGGGATCAGGCAGTTATCACAATGAGAGCCATGTGTGGCCAATACGGAGTTGGGCCAAAGCAGTCTTTCGGCGCCGCGACAGTCGTGATATCCCCCAGGCCCCCAATGCAGGATGGATGTAAAGGGAGCTTGTTTGCTCCAACAGCATCCCATCTGCATTGGCAGCTCTTATTATACTAGCTTGATATCAGAGGCAGGTAGAGGGGAATGATGTGCCACAGGGCAAGAAGCAGCAGCTTTCGCCACAACATCACGCTCATTCCCTTTCTCTTCCACATGGGCCGGAACCCAGCAAAAACTGACTTTCCTCTCATTGTTCCTGATAAGTTTGTCCTTCATTATTTGTGATCCAGTGTTAGTTCAGCAGGAAAGAGGAATACCCAAGGAAAATAATTGATAATTGGTCTGGTGACAATGGATAATACCCTTCTCACACTTGACACAAGATTGAACTTGTGATGCAGTGGTGAAGAAACAGGGAAGACTTTGTTTGGATCAAGATTGAAATGATTTAAATTAAGTGATTCAAAATAAACTTAAGTCAGAATAATGAACATGGATCTAAATCCAATTAAAATTTTTAATGATACAGGTACTTGGTACAAAATCTCTGATTCTCCAAGAGTGTCTGTAATTGAGATCACAGATCTATCAACTTAACTTTACTCATTCTGTCCTTCCCTATATACTTCTTCTGTCTTTACCTCATCCATATTTCTTTCAAGTATATCCTGTTTCATATTATTTTATATAATAATATTTATTTAGTAAAATTGTCATACAGGTTTACAGTTGGATTTGCATGTACAGTAAAACCTCGATTAACCGACCACATATGGGGGGAAGGGGCCGACGGATAATCAAAAAGGTCGGTTAATAGTACATAAAGTCTACGGAAATACAACATACATTTTCAAAGTACCTTTCCGTAACCGACTTCATTTAAGTCCCTCTATTCATTTTTGTTCATTTGCCATTCATATTTCAATAGAATTTGCTTTAAAACATTAACCACTTTAGTAAATAAATATGAACCAGCACAGAAACCGTGAATAAAAAATGGAAAAGTCAAAGAACATGTCATCACAAAAATTGTGACCAAGTCCCAGGTTGCTGATCTGACTTTCTGCCTCATTTATACACAATTGCAGGGTCTCAATTGTTTCTCTTACTATTGACAACACAACATACATACAGGTACATTGTTTCTCACTCTTGATTTTTTTTTCATTTTTGCATTTCTTTATGGTTCTTTATTACTATCATTATTTTTATTAGCATTATCATTATTAATATTATTACATTATCCTCCCCCCAAGTCCCGATGTAGGTCAGTGACCTGTGCCTGGGTGGGCTAGTCTCCGTAAAAAAAAAAAAAAATTAGGGGTTCGGGATTGACAGTTAATCCGAAAGTCGGTTAATTGAGGGTCGGTTAATCGAGGTTTTACTGTATATATATAATCTATGCTGTAAAGGCCTGGGACTTAGGGATAGAAATCCCTTGCCAGCCTAATCAGGATCTTATAAAAGGAAAGTCAAGAACCATGGTTTTCCGAGGGATAACAAACAACCGTTCGAGATTGACATCTCTTTACTATAAAATTAACACAAAACAATGACACCACTCAAACAAACATCAAATAACAATTAAGGAGCCAAACAATTAAGGGAATCAAATAATTAACGGGAGTCAACAATTAATGGAATCAAACAAGAGAATCAAACGATTATGGGAGTCAAACAATTACTGGAGTCAAACAATTATTATTGGAGTCAAACAATTACTGGAGTCAAACAATTATTATTGGAGTCAAACAATTACTGGAGTCAAACGATTATTGGAGTCAAACAATGAACAGATATTTCCTACTGCAGCGGCCCTGGGGAAGGTTCGGGAAAGCGGTGATCCACTCTCAGGGGGAAGGTCAAGTCAGCTTCCTCATTTGACCTCTGTGGGCGATGTCTTGCTACACAGGAGAAACACTGGGGCACAGATGGTGGAGGAAGTGGCGATGACGTGGCAGCCGCGGTAGTAGGTGGGGTAGGTGTCCGGAGATTGACAGTCGATTTGTGAAGGTCTGGGGAAACAGCCCACGAGTCCAGAGCCTCAGATGAGAACACAACCAGAATTTGGACGAGCAGTGGGGAGGTGGTGCTAACTGGGTAGTGTCTGATCTCTGTGCGAGGCAGCAGTGACGCGAACAAGTAAGCGGGCGGCGAACAATCATCCTGCTTGTTACTGCCCTTACATATGCATTATACAGTTCAGCATGGTGGGGGGTTCCTCTCCTTCATGGAGGAGGCCGGCCTTCTACACAAGCTTTCAGTTGTATCTATTAAAACAAAAAATAAATAAATAAATTATTATTTTTTTTATTTTTTTTTAGAAAAGTTGTATGTTTTATTACTTATTTTTTTTTTTTTACCTTTCATTATTTGATTTTAGTCTCTTTAGTCTTTATTTTAATTTGTGACATATGACCTAAGTTGTTGTGTCACCATGGATGTAATTACCACAATCAATCAAGCAGTAAAGAAGAAAGCATTTTTTGCTTGACTGCAGACACCAGGTACCCTAACATTAATAGCATACATTAAATTAGAGACCAAAAACAAAAAAAAATCAGAAATAGAGCAAAAAACTTTACCTAAGCATTAGAAATACTACACCAGCACTCACAGTTACTTTATACAGTTGTATTGTGTTAAGAAAAAGAAATTAAATGAGTAAGCCAGTGAATGTGGTGTGATGTTAAGAAAGTCAACCAAATTACAGTAGTGGAGTCGCCTTGTCTGCATCCTGCCCCACATGGCTCATACCACCACCACCACTGCACCATTAACACACACACACAAATGCACACGTATCTAATACTTAACTTTGAAACTTTGTGAGGCTCTATGAGCAGCACTGGTTCTAATTTCCTTGCCTTTCATCTTGATGGACCGAGCGTTTGACTCGTTTACTCCAACATCTGACACATTCGTGATGCTAACGAGTTGATCCATCACTTAAATTTTCTGTAAAATTCATCACTTCCTCACTCTCTTTGCACGAGATGTACTACCACCAGTTAATGGCATTTTGAAACCACAAAAAAAGTTATAATTAAGGTTAGAATTCCTCAAGAAAAGCATTGGAGAACACAACAGTTTGGTAAGCAGCAGGACGTCACATCATGGTAGATACCCACAATTTTTAAAATAAGCACCGTACCTCAGTTGCTTCACTCTATCCATCACACTCAACATGTTCAGTGACTGAAGAACTTCGTGACCAATGTGATCTCTTGTGTTCAAATCAAGAATGAACCTCCTTGCTAGATTTTGAATACAGTAATTTGTAGCTTGGATTTTAGCTTCTGTGATAGGGCAGAGTACCATGACTAGCAGGAATAGTCCAAGTGACATTGTATGAGTACCAAGCAAAGAACCCTATGGGCATATCTGAAAGGCATGTAGCATTTTTATAGAGAAAATTTATTTTGGCATAACCTTGTTGATCTGTATTGTTTCTGGAAAATCAGACATTCAGTAAATCTGGATGTTGATAACTGTTTTCAGTGATATAACTGTTTCGTACTGTAAATTGTTTTCCCATAGTATAAATAGTAGAAGTGCTTCTACATGTGTACTGGGTACGAGTGTGTCACCAGCGAGTGAAAAATCTTTACGGCGAGTCAGATTAAAAAATTACAACTCCGTCGGGTGAGAAATAGGCGAGCAATAATTTTGCCCCATGCAAAAGTGAACTAAACCTCTTATGTAGATCCTACGATTTTGAAAGATTTTATGTTGAATATTTCTTCAATCTGCATAAGAATGCTGTCTCACCAAGGCACCACCAACACAGGAAAAGACGGCGAGTGAACGTGTACTAATTAATATTGTACAATTGCAATGAATCAATATAGTTTTTATAAAAAAAAATCAGCTCGGGCTTTAAGTTTAGCAAACAGTCAGCCACAGAAAAATGGTAAGATTATAGGTAAAATAATTCAACCAATGGTAATTGTAATCCTGTAAGGAAGAGAGCAGAAGACAAGCACGTATTGTGACACACGCACGCACGCACACACCTTTTTCAATAAACCGTTAATAATTATTATTATTACACCACACACCACACACCTCTCTCTCTCTCTCTCTCTCTCTCTCTCTCTCTCTCTCTCTCTCTCTCTCTCTCTCTCTCTCTCTCTCTCTCTCTCTCTCTCTCTCTCTCTCTCTCTCTCTCTCTCTCTCTCTCTCTCTCTCTCTCTCTCTCTCTCTCTCTCTCTCTCTCTCTCTCTCTCTCTCTCTCTCTCTCTCTCTCTCTCTCTCTCTCTCTCTCTCTCTCTCTCTCTCTCTCTCTCTCTCTCTCTCTCTCTCTCTCTCTCTCTCTCTCTCTCTCTCTCTCTCTCTCTCTCTCTCTCTCTCTCTCTCTCTCTCTCTCTCTCTCTCTCTCTCTCTCTCTCTCTCTCTCTCTCTCTCTCTCTCTCTCTCTCTCTCTCTCTCTCTCTCTCTCTCTCTCTCTCTCTCTCTCTCTCTCTCTCTCTCTCTCTCTCTC